TGTATGAAACATTCCCCTGATCTGGTACTTGTATTTCAGAAAGTACTGTCTGAAGCCCATTGTACTCTTTCCTTTTTTTTATTTAGTTATTTTTTTGGGGGCATGGTTAACCATTTTGTAAGTTTTTTTCTAGACAGGGGCTTGCTGTGTTGTCCAGGCTGGAGTGATCATGGCTCACTATAGCCTCCACCTTCTGGGCTTAGTAGCTGGGACCACAGGCATGGGTCACCATGCCCAGCTAATTTTTGTATTTTTGGTAGAGACTGGGTTTCACCATGTTGCCCAGGCTGGTCTTGAATTCCTAGGCTCAAGTGATCCTCCTGCTGTGGCTTTCCAAAAGTGCTGGGATTACAACTGTGATCCACTGTGCCCAGCCTCACCATTTTGTAATTTTCTAAGATAAAGCTAAAATGACTTTAAAGTCAGTTTTCCCATTGTATTAGTTCCTTCTCAGGCTGCTATGAAGAAATGCTAGTTAATTTATGAAGAAAAGAGCTTTAGTTGACTCACAGTTCCACATGGCTGGGGAGGCCTCAGGAAACTTACAGACATGGTAGAAGGGGAAGCAACATTTTTCTTCACGTGGTGGCAGGAGACAGGAGAGAGAAGAATGAGAGCCAAGTGAAGGGGAAGCCCCCTATAAAACCATCAGATCTTGTGAGAACTTACTATCACAAGACTAGCATGGGGGAAACTGCCCCATGATTCAGTTACCTCTCACCAGGTCCCTCCCTTGACACACAGGGATTATGGGAACTATAATTCAAGATGAGATTTGAGTTGGGACACATCCAAACCGTGTCACTCATCTCTGTGAGACTGATTTAGTAGGTGGAGGTGGGGTGGGGTGAAGGGTTAGGATAACAGGATAGGTAGGTGTACACCTAATTCCTATATCATAATTCATTTTATTTGTTTAAAGACAGGGTCTCTCTCTGTTTCCCAGGCTGGCATGCAGTAGTGCAGTCTCAGTTTATTGCAACCTCAGCCCCCTGAGCTCATGTGATCCTCCCTCCTCAGCCTCCTGAGTCACTGTGACCACAGTCATGTGCCACCACACCCAGCATAGTTTTGTATCTTTTTTTGGTAGAGCTGCAGTTTCACCATGTTGCCCAGGCTGGTCTTGAATGCCTGAGCTCAAGCTCCCCTCTGCCTCCCAAAGTGCTGGATTACATGCATGAGCCACCGCCCAGCCAGAAATACTTTAAGCAATAAGAATGCTATGCATCTTTAAAGAAGATTACTTACAGTGGGAGTTAAGAAATGAAATGTAAACTTTTCTGATCTTGGTCTTAAAGAAAGGACTGGATTTTAACAGGGAGATATTGAGGGACCTATTGGTGGCTCTTATAGGGTAATTAATAGTGGCTGACAAACAGAACTGGAAATCTCAGAGACTTAACCCAACAAAGATTAGATGTTGCTCACATGAAGTCTGAAGGGGGTCAGGTAGCGCTCCATCTTATAGCTATGCCAGTGGGAACAGGTGGACTCCATGGGTGTAAGATAGTGATGCAGGAGGTACACCAGCTCTTACCTGCCTGTCCCTCTAGCTCAACTGTGTTTCCTGTTGTGCTCACATGACCACAAATCGTGTGGCTACAAAGTTACTAAGAGGCTGGAAAATAATTTGGAATATATTGAGGAGGGCTTAGAAACCAGGAAGAGTTGTGCCTACTTCAATAGGGGGCTTTTAAATGTTTATGAACAGGAGAGCAGTATGAACAGAGCAATGCCTTAGAGAGGTAGAGGTGACCTTTTTTTACCAGCATTTTCTGTAAATCTAGGCCCATGTTTCCTGTTGCCTGTATTATTCTTAAAAAGCTGTTAAACTAGCCTCACTGCTGACTCTAGTCCCCTCCTTCTCTTGTATCCTGTTCCTATCATCAGAACCATTTATGAAACAGCCTTTTGTATGGCTCTGCTTCATAAATAGGATAGCAATATAATTTATCACCAAACTAAGATGCCATTGAGAGTGGAAGTGCTACTAGTTATGCTTGGGCCAACTGAGACTAAAGGTGTAACCTGGGACTGTCTTTAGCTAACAGACTAAAAGTCACTCTAAAAGGAGACTACGATGGCTCTCTATTGACAGCCTGGCCAATCAAGCCCCAAAACCCATGTCCTTCATGATATATCAGCACCTGCGATCTTCCCTTACCTTTAATTCAGGTTCCTACTCAAACATAACCTCTGTAGAGAGGCTCTCACTGCCCCATCTGACCTAGCACTTTTCCACTCCTCCCTCTCTAACAGTGTGAAGGGATCTTCACACTGTTTAATTATTCTTCATTGTACATACTACTTTCTGACATTATGTGATAGATCTATTCTGAAATAACTGTCTGTACCTCCTCTAGAATGCGTACTCCGTAGGTGGAGGGACTTACTCGTTTCCACGACTACAGACTTGGTGTCTTAAGTAGAGCCCAGCACATGGTAGGAGCTGGCAAACTGTTATTGAATTAGGGAATGGTTACCTTCATCTTCAGTTGGGCCAGATCCCCATCCACTCCAACATAGCCTCCAAGCCTGCCATTGACATTTAGACTTAAATTCTTGACGAGCCCTCTGTCTTCAGTAAGCTTTTTACTGTCCTCTGTGGAGATCCGGCTATGGTTCAAGGCTTAGCTTCCACCCTTTTTCTTTTTGACATGTTCTTTGAATACTGTGCTCTACATTCCTGTCCTAGATGGAAGCACACAGTGTTTAATATTAACTAGACTGTGTGCTTTGTGGAGGCAGAGACTACATGATTTCTTATATGTGTAATAGGCACAAAAGTGGTACAACAGGAGTTAATTCATGTAAGCTTCATAGAACAATGTGGAACACATATGGTAATAACATGAAATATGCTATAATCAATATATAATTATTGGTAATTTACATTCTTTGTGTTTTGTACTAAGTCTTCAACATCTGGTACATATTTTACACTTAAACATGTCTCACTTCAGAGGAGCCACATTTCAAGTGTTTGGTAGCTACCGGGAACTAATGCACACTGTTTTGGACAGCACAGCCCTGAAAAATAGAGGAATAGCAGGTGTAAGGAGCAGCCACTCCCTGTAGGCCTGAGAGAGAGTGCTTAAGGAACAAACTTGTAAGCACCATCCCTTCCCCAAAGCCTTAGATTCAGACCTCATGGCAGGTGTAGCTGTGGCCCACTGGATGACAAAGACATTTGCTAAGGAGCTGCAGGCCTGGGCTGGGAGGTGAAAACCACCTAGTGGGATCCTGAAAGTTTGAAAGAAAGTCTCTGTCTGTGGTATAAGTGAGACTTGTGGAAAGCTCCTGTCAACTTGCAATATAAATATATACAGACAGCTCTCCAGGTAAAAAGGTTTTGTTTGAGAGTAACATACAAGAAGTAAGATTGCAATCCAGGACTTACATATAGACTAGGGTGGTCTCTGGTATGTCTGGAGAACAAATTAAATGATAAGGGTTTAACTGGAAAAAGAGGAGGTTATGCAAGTTGTTTTGAAAGTAAGTTTACAGGCACTGGCAGTGTCTTAGAAGAGCTCGTGAGTTTTGATTGGTGAGTATCAGCAGTTGCTAGGTAGAACTTGTGATCTTGGAGTGATAGGCCCTTGCAGTTTTGGATTGGGCTTGTGAGACAGTGTGTCTGTCCGGCAATTGTTCTTGTATATGCAGATAGCTGTCCTTCTGCTGCTAGCTATCCTTGTGATAGCTTCTATTCAGGCAAATTGTGCATGAGAACCCTCTCTTTTTGACCTTTTGGCTCCATTTTGTTAGGTTTGACACAAGTGATTCCATTTTGAACGTGACAACTTTCACATCACCCATGAGGTTGCCGGTGAAACTTGTGGGAGGGTGTCTGCCTCTGGGTCAGCCTCGCACCACAGGCAGGGAAGGCGCCCATGGAGGAGGATGCTGACTGCTGGCAGCCACACCATGGGAGCCATGAGAAAAAACACTGGAAGCAGGAAGAAAGCTTCTTCCTCTTACCGTAACCCTTTAGCACCCTTCATGATATTATGCTGGTTATCAAAGGAGAAACGTTTTAGGGTTTTGCCAGATTTCCCAAATGCAGGTGAAAAGGGTGGATTTGGAGCTTGAGAGGCAATAAATTGACAACTAGTCAAAAGCACAACTTATATTATCTGCTTATAGATCAAAGTTGTCATTTTCTTTTCTTTTCTTTTCTTTTTTGAGATAGGGTCTCACTCTATTGCCTAGGCTAGAGTGTGGTAGTGTGATCTCAGCTCACTGCAACCTCCGCCTCCCAGGCTTAAGTGATTCTCCTGCCTCAGCCTCCTGAGAAGCCAGGACTACAGGTGTGTGCCACCACACCTGGCTCATTTTTCTATTTTTAGTAGAGATGGAGTTTTGCCATGTTGGCCAGACTGGTCTCGAACTCCTGACCTCAAGTGCTCCATTCAGCTCAGCCTCCCAAGTGCTGGAATTACAGATGTGAGTCACCACACCTTGCTCAAAATTGTCATTTTCAACAAATGTTTCCTCTCACCTAGATGAAACTCCTACCATGGGATTATTCTCTACTGCAAAGGAGATAGCAACATTTTTCTCAGAAAGTTAATGCTAAAAAACACAAATGTTATTTATGGCAATTGGTGGGTGCATTAACCTGAAGACATATTCACCTTAGGAAATGGACCATTTTGTTCTTTCACTAAGGACAGAAATATATTAGTGATAGAGAGGAGAGGTAAAGTTGTATAAGCCCAAGACATTAACCAAATTCAGATAATTTCTCAGAAGATATGATGGATAAAAGGTTTTGCACTTGTTAAAGCTTTCTAATTAGTATTGCTGGATTTCATTTTTCTGTATTTTCTGGTTCTAAAGAAAGTAATTCTGAGACAAACCTTAAAATTTTAAAATCAGTACAGTATGTCTTTCAATATGTTGGATAATACGTACTTCTTAAAGAGTCTTTCTGTAAAATTTGGTTCAGTGAATCGATTTTAGCACTAACAAAGTTTTTCTTCCTCATATTTTTCACACAGGAGAAATTGGCCGGCAAAGAAAAGTTCAAGGCACCAGCAAGAGCTTTGCCACAGCTGCCTAAGGTAACTTACCCAAATATAGTCTCATTGAACTTTTGTGCCTATTAAAAATGTTTATTTTCTAGCTTAAAAATAAGCAAATTTCTGCTCTATTTGATTCTCTTCTGATGGAAAAATTCTATGAGGTGCACATATTAGGACAAGTAACTATCTTAGTAAAGTGACCGTAAGCTATAATTACCTCTATAGTAGAATATTGCAATATTCTGAATGAACAACTCACCAAGATGGATTAGCAGAAGGAATGTCAGTGCTGGAGTAAAGAAACAAGGGCTTGGGGTCAAGGTTTGCCTATAATGGCTCTGTGCCCTTTGGGGAGTCACTTACGCCCTTAGCCTCAGTTTCTAAGTGTGAAAATGAGCTGAGCTGATGATCTTCAAGGAGATGGCTCTTCCAGCACAATAATGCTGTGCTACAAAAGATTTCTTAGATCTTGGAGTCTTTTTTCATTATTTTGACTATAAATTTTCATTGTCTTGTGGAAGAGGCAGTTAATCGACATTTTCAGTTGACAAAGTGCTGTACAAGTTAGATTTTAATGTAATAAAATTTATTATCTAGTAATTATGTGGAGTTTAATGCCACCAAGTTACACTCTTGTGAGTCCTGAATGTTAAATTTAAGGGGAAGAGCAATGCAAAATATTATTATTATAGACAGAGGTGTTGCTTTGTTGCCCAGGCTGGAGTGCAGTGGCACAATCTTGGCTCACTGCAACCTCCGCCTCCCAGGTTCAAGCGATTCTCCTACCTCAGACTCCTGAGTAGCTGGGATTATAGGCCCTAGCCACCATGCCTGGCTAATTTCTGTGTTTTTAGTAGAGACAGAGTTTCACCATGTTGGTCAGGCTGGTCTCAAACTCCTGACCTTGTGATTCGCCCGCCTCGGCCTCCCAAAGTGCTGGGATTATCGGCATGAGCCACCACACCCAGCCTATTATTTTTAAAAAATTGATAAAATATACATAACATAAAATGTACTATTTTAACCACTTTTAGGTATTCTGTGACATTTAGTACATTCACACTGTTGTATACTCATTACTACTACCCATCTCCCAGAACTCTTTTTATCTAACTAAACAAAAACTCTGTCCATTAAACAATAACTCTCCATCTTCCCCTCCCTCAGCCCCTTGTAAACTACCTTCGTACTTCTTGTCTCTATGTATTTGACTACTCTAGGTATTTCATATAAGGGGAATCATACAATATGTGTCCATTTATGTCTGGCTTATTTCACTTAGCATAATGTCTTCAAGATTCATCCAAAACATTATTTGCTTTGAAAGATATTTTAAAAGCTAAGAACAAACTATAAAATTGAATTTGTGTTGCTTTATACAGAGACGATTCGTAATTTGAAATGAACAGTTTCACTCAGAAAGCATGAATTAACATTTGAACATTTAAAAATACACATTTTAATAGAAAATATACTTTTATTAATAATGCCAAATTATTGTAAAATGTCTGCAGAATTGAGCCATAGGATGTTTTCTCTAGTTCTGCAAAATCCCTCTTAAATTTTCTAGTTTAAAAGATAAAAAACTGAAATGTAATAGACATTTTTTAGTTTATTGTGGATTGTTAGTTTACAGATATAGAAATATAAACTTAATTTAAATTTACTTGAATATCTATGGCTGAGATGAATAATAATTCTTGCTTGTCAGTGAAGCATGTAATCATCTAAAATGCTTTTATTGACTGATTTAAACCTGGTTTTGTATTCATATTTGGCTGTGCCTTGTAATCTTTTCTTAGCATTCTTTGAGTCTTATGTGTTTTAAGGGAAATTATATTTTCAACAGATATTTAGAAAATAAGCTATTGATTTTTTTAAAAACTGTTTTTATTTGAATACAGCATTAAGCTTTGTACTTGTATAGAAATTCTCCAGCAGTAATTACGACCTAGAGTGATTTTCAGACTTCAGGCTTCCCAAGATGGCCCTGTAGTTGAAATCAAGGATAACCTGGCACTGGTGACTCCCAGCCTCTGTGAGCTGGGGACCTGATTTTCACCCTTTCTGTACAGCTCCTCATTCCACTTCTATGAGTCTTAAAACTTTTATGGAGCAAGATGAGGGTTGAGAAATGGGAAGAGCAGATGGAAAAATGGAAGAGCACTGACTTACATGTTTTCTTATCCTATTTTCCTGTGCAAGAGGTGTAAGGTTAGCCAAGAGAAAGGAGAATAGACCCAAAGTCAGACAAGCAAGCTCTATTAACCTGCCGAGCTGCCCCATAACAATCAGAGGAAGCAGCCCTTAGCTTACAAAATGAGGGGTTTCTAGAGGGTGAGAGGGGCATAAGGGAGTTTCAGGACTGAGATAATCTGTCAGCTTGTAACAGGCACAGAGATAGTTTGTTAACTTGTGGCAGACTTACAGTACATTATCTTGTGACTTTGTGGTTGACAGTTTTAAAAAACAGGATTTTACAGGTATGTGTAAAACAGGAATTTACAAGTACGGATAACAAACATTTGTTTTCCTTGTCTTCCCCTGAGCTGCCCAGATGGCTGTAATCAGGCTTTGCTTAATTGTAGCACCCAGATAGGAGTTCAGGAATGCAGCTGCAGAGCAATCAGAGTTGGGGGTGAAGGCAGGGGCGGGGCGGGGTGGTCAGCTTGTGCAGGGGGGTTTTCTGAGGCAGCTTGTCCCTAACATTCCAGCCGTTTAATAGGTAATAGAAGAGGGGCACCGTTGTCATCTGGCTGCTTCTTGCTGGATATGGGTGACATTTGCAGGGCTCTAGATCGTAGGGATTGTCATTCTTGGAGCTGTCGGTATTCTTGGAGCAGCATCACATCTTGCATTGTTCCATGGGTGAAAGCTTTAATATGGTCCTGCAAGAACTGGAAGAGGAGTCAAAGAGGCAGGGGCCAAATGCTGGAAGGAGGGAAAGGGTCATTGCAGGACCTAGGAGGGGCGGTAGCCAGGTTGCCCAGGAGTTACGGAACTACTGGGGCTAGGAGAACTGACTGTCTTTAAGCTTTGTGCTTGGTCTTTGAGTTTTTCTTGACAGCATTTTGTACTAACCCAGAGTCACTGAGGTAGAAACAGCATTGTTCATTTTAAAAGAGGCACAAACCTCCTTTTTCAGCAGTGAGGAAATTTAGGCCTTTGCTGTTTTGTAGGGTGACTGCTGCTAAAGAGAGTCTAGTTGATTTTAGAGGTGAGTGATAGTGTGGAAAGAAAATAAGATAAGATCAAATAAGTAATAATAAAGTTTAAAATAATAAGCATAAGATGGGTAATAGTTAACCTTAAGTAACGGTAATTTAGAAGTTATACATAGGCTAAGGAATTTAAACAGCTACTCTCAGCATAGCTAACAAGTTGCAGCTGCAAGCTCATCTCAACCTTCCAAGCTTATCACCTGCCTCCAGAGCCCTGCACACCTCTGTAATTCCTGTCTAGCAGCAAGGTTGACTGGTCAAGATAACTAAATTGTAAGTCCTCTCAGAATTGTAAGAATAATGCATTGTCTTTGTCTGAAACCTGCATCCTGCCTTGTTTACCTGCCTTAAACTGCATATAAGCAAAACTGCCTTCTTTGTAGGGGTTGGCAGCCATTGAAGGTGTGAGCCTGCTGCTGGCCTGGGCGCCTGAAAAAGTTCTCTTTGGTCTCCATTGGTCTCTTTGTCTTCTTTGGCTGGAGTTTTGCTGCAACAATAGAGTCTGCTATTTTTTCTAGTGATGATTGGAAGTGTTGGGAGAATGACTGGAAATATGATAATGAGGTTCCTGGGCTTCCTGCTTTTAACCCAATGCTAGTTGTGACTTCAAGGGCTAATAAGGGAATGAACTGTATTGCTCTTTTTGAGCAAGCATGTATTGTAGCAGGGACAGGGAGTTCTTCATTTGGAGAGACAGGTTTATGTGGGGGGTCAGGAAGACTAGAGTGCAGGTACCTGTCCAGTTGGTAGGGAGACAGAAGTAGGTTGTGGATCTGCAGAGGAAGATGCCTGAAGTGTTAATGCAGACTGACAAGTGGATTGAGAATAGATATTGGAATGACTCAGTTCACTTCAGTAACCCAGAGTGAGGAGGAGGGAGAGACCCCTTTGAGAGCTCCTGTCTGGGGAAGGGGTTTCCATGTTTGAGAGGCAGGAAGGGAGCTAATGCGGAGGGGGTGGGTAAAGAGGCCCTAAGCTTCAGGTGAAACTGAATAATCTCGGAGTGAGGTCTGGGAAGAGGGATGAGAGATGGTTCGAGGTGAGCCACAGGCAGAGGCAGGGATGGTGCCTACGTGTATGTGTCCATTGGAAGAGGTGACACATAAGAATGGGACCTTGGATAGGAGGATGAGGGAGTTTTGTGAGGTTGTAATTGGCAGTGTATGTGGAGAGAGGTTTGGTAGCTTCGTTAGCGAGGGCAGTGGGGTAGCTCCCAGTGAGGGTGAGGGCTCTGCCTACAAAGGCAGAGCCTTTTTGGGTGGTGTGTGAAAAGCGAATGGGAATATGGTCCCAGGGCTGAGAAACTGTGTTAGCTGAGTAGGCAGTAGAGGAAAGGGAAAACAGGTCCAGCAATTGGAAGCAAGTGTAGAGTTGGAGCGTAGTAACAAGGAGTGAGTGAGATGGAGAGATTGTTTGAGCCTTGTAGAAGTGAGAAGGGATTTTGAGGGAGCAGAGTCAATGGAGCTGACCATTAAAAGAGTTAGGAACTTGAGGAAGAATTGGAGTCTGTATATGGGGAAGGAGTTAAGCAGGGTTGTTTGTGGAGGTAGCCTCTTGTAACAGTGAAGCCTTTTCAGTATGGGAATATTGGGGTTGGATTGTGGGGGTAATGAGGAGAGGGGCAGGGACAGAAGAAATGGAAGCTTATTTTGCTGCCTCCTCGGCCTTTCTGTTTCCTCTTGAGATTTCATTTCTACACTATTGGTGTCCTCGACAGTGTATAATTCCTGCTTTAGCTGGGAGGTGTGCAGCTCGGAGAAGTTGGTAAATAAGGGGGCCATTAGTGATGGGGATTCCTTTGCCAGTAAGAAATCCTCT